CCCATGAGGGGGTCCCCGCTTTGGGGATGCTCCCACCCTGGTTCCCATCCCCATAAGAGGGTGTCTGCTGTAGGACTCGTTCCTCCCCATCCTCTCCCCATCCCCCTGGTTGAGGTCCCTGCTTTGGGGGTTATCCCCATCCTGATCCTGCCCCATCCCAGACGTTATCCCCATGCAGGACCACACTGAACCCCTCTCCCCGATCAGGCGCTGTGCCCGTGCCACCGTACCCCGTGTCCCCGTCGGCAGCGGACCTTGCCCTGCCTCAGCCCCTTGGACTCTGAGCTGCAGCTGCGAGGGATCCATCACCACCACCACCACCACCACGCTGCCCTATGGAGGTGAGCCCCTACACACCCCCTTTACAGTGCTATGGGGTCCCCATGTTACCCCTTTGTGTCACCCCTTTGTGCCCCCAGGTCCCCAAGAAGCTGGTGAACTCGGTGTCGGGCTGCGCTGACGATGCTCTGGCCGGGCTGGTGGCCTCCAACCCGGGGCTGCAGCTGCTGCAGGGCCACCGGGTGGCCCTAAGAGCTGACCTGGTGGCCATCCGGGGCCGGGTGGCTCTGCTTTCCGGTGGGGGCTCTGGCCACGAGCCTGCCCATGCAGGTATGTGCCTCACCACCACGAGCCGGCATTCCCTGGCGCAGCTCTGAGCTCCCTATCCCCTTCCATAGGGTACATCGGGAAGGGGATGCTCACTGGCGTGGTGGCTGGAGCCGTCTTCACCTCTCCGGCTGTGGGCAGCATCCTGGCGGCCATCCGGGCCGTGACACAAGCTGGGGCAGGTAGGGATGAGCTTCCAACCCAAAGCAGTCCTTGATTCCAGGGTTCCATAATCCCATGGTTCCATGACTGAGGGGCTGTGGAGACCCTGTCCCCTAGGAAGCAACAACTGAGCTCATGCTTCCCCTCTTCCCCAAGAAGGAGAGGTCCCAATGAAGACCCCACTCCCTGGGCTACCCCGTCCCCACAACCCCTGCCCCATTGCCCTCAGCACCCACCTCAGCCGCCCGCGTGGCCACAATCCCCATCTCCAGCATCCTGAGCCCATCCTGCACATCTGGGCTTCACTTCCCCCCCCACCCCAACCCATCCCATGTCCCACCGCAGCCGGGACCCTCCTCATCGTCAAGAACTACACCGGGGACCGGCTCAACTTCGGGCTGGCGCTGGAGCGGGCGCGGGCGGAGGGGGCCGACGTGCGCATGGTGGTGGTGGGCGACGACAGCGCCTTCGCCACGCTGAAGAAAGCCGGGCGCCGCGGGCTCTGCGGCACCGTCCTCATCCATAAGGTGGCCAGGATCCAATGGGAATGTGGGATCCGGGGTGCCGGGGGTGATGGTCCTTACCCCTGGTGCTCTTGGCAGGTCGCAGGAGCTCTGGCTGAGGCAGGAGCGAGCTTGGATGAGATCGTGGAGAAGGTGTCAGCGGCTGCCAAAGGCTTGGGTAGGTGGGGGACACCCTTAGGGGGATGCTGAGCCTCATCCCTGGCAAAGCAGAGCCCCCCATCAGCCCCACGTAACCTGTCACCTCCCTCCCCACGCAGGTACCCTGGGGCTCAGCCTGTCCCCATGCAGCGTTCCCGGCTCCAAACCCACTTTCCAGCTGGCTGCTGATGAGATGGAGCTGGGCCTGGGTGAGGAGCTGCCCCCCCGTGTGCCCCCCATTCCGCATGGGACAGGCATCCCTTGGTGCTGGAGGGGGCCACGACATGGGCTGATGCTGCCCTATCTCTGCAGGGATCCACGGTGAGGCAGGAGTGCGTAGGATGAAGGTGAGCGGGGTCCTGCTGGGTCCCCCCCAATGCTCTCCAGATCCCCCCCAACTCTTCCCTCAATGTCCCCCCGTTGTCCCCCTACTATCCCCCTAGATGCTGACAGCGGATGAGGCGGTGGAGATGATGCTGGCCCACATGACAGACCCCTCCAATGCCTCCCACCTCCCCCTGAGCCCTGGTGAGCCCCCTTTCACCCTCCTCCAACCCGACCCCCAGACCCCATAGGCAAAGGGTCTCATTCTGCTCCTCCCCTGCAGGAGCCTCCGTGGTGCTGGTGGTGAACAACCTGGGTGCTTTGTCCTGCCTGGAGCTGGGCATCGTGGCCGGGGTTGCTGTGCGCTGCCTGGGTGAGTGCCGGGGGCTCCATCCCTCTGCTCTGCTCCTGCTCCTGCTGCTCATGGACCTCCCTCCATGGCCGCAGAGAGACGAGGGCTCAGCATCGCCAGGGCACTGGTGGGCTCCTTCATGACGGCGCTGGACATGGCCGGGGTGTCCCTCACCCTCATGCTGGTGGACGAGGAGCTGCTGGGGCTCATTGGTGAGCGCCTGCTGCTGGGGCTGTCCCCAGGTGATGGGGATGCTCAGGACCGCACGCATCCGGTGTGGTCCTTGGGGGGGGGGGGTTGGCAGCACTCACCTCCTGCTTCTCCAGATGCCAAGACCACGGCTATGGCATGGCCCAACCTGGCTGCGGCGCCTGCCACGAGCCACAGACAGGAGCTGCCAGCACCAAAGGAGGGAGCGGGCACCACGCAGCATGAGGCCAGCTCAGGTAGGAGGCAGCAGCAGGGAGCTTGGATCCCTTTGGAACCATCACCTCCCCATGCCTTGGTTTCCCCGTATCCAGCCCGGGATGAGCAGGGCGATGCCTCCTCCTCGCAGGGCCCGGTGCGGCGCGGGTGCAGCGGGTGCTGGAGCTGGTGTGCAGCACCCTGCTCGCCATGCAGGACAGGCTCAACGAGCTGGACCGTCAGGCAGGGGATGGGGACTGCGGCCACACGCACGCTCGAGCTGCTCAAGGTGGGTGCTGGGGGGATGTGGGGCAGGGAGTTATGGGGAGGGGGCACCCCAGGGAGCAGCTCCTGGGAGCTGGGGCTTCTGTTTTTTGGGGGAACAGGGAACGCTGAGCCGTTGAGTTCTCCCTTCAGGGTACCTGAATCATGGAGTCATGGAATGGGTTGGGATGAAGGGAGCTTCAAGCTCATCCAGTGCCACGGGCAGGGACCCCTTCCACTGGAGCAGCTTGCTCCAAGCCCCTGTGGCCTTGAGCACTGCCAGGGATGGGGCAGCCACAGCTTCTCTGGGCACCCTGTGCCAGCACCTCAGCACCCTCACAGGGAAGAGCTTCTGCCTCAGAGCTCATCTAATCTCCCCTCGGGCAGGTTCAAGCCATTCCCCTTGGTGAAAGCCCCTTTAGGAACCCAGTCTCAGCTGCCCCAGGGCACTGGGGGGGGTCTCCCTGCTTGTCCCCATGGCCCAGGGGGGTCACTCCCCCCCCCAGATCCAAGGGCTCCCTCCCTCCCAGCCTCTTCCCATCTCCTCCCTGCAGCCATCCAGGAGTGGGTCCGTGCCCGGCCCCCCCCAGCAGCCCCAGCCCAGCTCCTCTCGGCCCTGGCTGACCTCCTGCTGGAGAAGATGGGGGGCTCCTCCGGCGTGGTGAGTGCAGGGGGGGCAGGAGGGGACCTCACCCCCCCAGCGGTGACACCGGCCGGACCCTCAACCCCAGTGCCCCACAGCTCTATGGGCTCTTCCTGACGGCGGCCGCCCGGCCCCTGCTCCGCAGCACTGAGCTCCCAGCGTGGGCTGATGCCATGGATGCGGGCATTGAAGCCATGCAGAGGTGAGTGAGCAGGGCCATGGCACCCCCGGGACCCCCAGACCTTCTGTAGGGTCCTGCTGACCCTCTCCTGCATCCCACACAGGTACGGAGGTGCTGCCCCGGGGGACAGGACAATGGTGAGTGCTGGTGTCCTGGGGGATGCACTTGGGACTTGTGGGGTCCACAGTGCAAGAGGGATGTGGAGCTGTTGGAGCAAGGCTGTGGGGCTGCTGCGAGGGCTGGAGCAGCCTGGACAAGAGAAGGCTCCTGAAGGGGAGACCTGAGAGCAGCTCCAGTGCCTGAAGGGGCTGCAGGAAACATGGAGAGGGGCTTGGGACAAGGGTCTGTAGGGACAGGCCAAGGGGAATGGCTTGAACCTGCCCGAGGGGAGACTGAGCTGAGCTCTGAGGCAGAAGCTCTTCCCTGGGAGGGTGCTGAGGCGCTGGCACAGGGTGCCCAGAGAAGCTGTGGCTGCCCCATCCCTGGCAGTGCTCAAGGGCAGGTTGGACACAGGGGCTTGGAGCAAGCTGCTCCAGTGGGAGGTGTTGGGGTTGGAGCTGGATGAGCTTTAAGCTCCCTTCCCAACCCATTCCATGCCTCCACGCGGGGTAGAGCCACAATCCAGGCTGCCCCCAGCCAGCTCTCAGCCCCTTCCCCATCTCTGCAGTTGGACTCTCTGTGTGCTGCAGCCCAGGCTCTGCACCCCCTGCGCAGCCCCGGTGCCAAGCTGCTGCCCGTGCTGACCAACGCTGTGCAGGTACCGTGTGTGTGGAGGGGGGATCCCAGCGCCGGGCTGGCTTGGGAATGGGATGTGGGAACCCCTTTGGTGTCCTGACCCCATCCCCTTTATCCCTGCAGAGCGCGGAGGCTGCAGCAGAGGCCACCAAGCACATGGAGGCCGGGGCGGGCAGAGCCAGTTACATCAGCTCAGCGCGGCTGCTGCAGCCCGACCCGGGGGCTGTGGCTGTGGCTGCAGTGCTCAAGGCGGTGCTGGAGGGGCTGCAGAGCTGAGGGGGGGGGGCTGCATCTCATTTCTGACCCCCCCCCTTTCCCCAGTACCCTCAATAAACCTTTGTGGTCCTCCTAAAGCTGCTCCAGAGCTTCCATCCCCTGGGCGAGGGCTGGGGCGGTGGGGATGCAGCAGGGGAAGGGGAGCAGGGATTCTGTGCTTCCTCATCACTGAGGAAGGAAGCTTCTGGGCTGGGCATGAGCTCAGCACCAGGGTAACCACAGGGCTCACATGGCTCCAGGCACGGGGCTTGGAGGAGACTCAGGGGGGGGAAAGGCAGAAAGAAGAAGCAGGGGATGGGGGCCAGCACCGGGATCTGCTCCTCTGGCCCCCACTGCTCCCATCCCGGCTCCTGCGGCCCCACTTTGTCCCCAGGGATGCGGATGCAGGAGCACTGCAGAAGCCAGTGCTTTATTAGGTGGCCAGGAGGGCCCTGTGAGGCTCCTGGGCTGGTCCCACCACCGTGGGGTGGAGGGAGAGGCACCCTGGTGAAGGGCAAGGCACGGGGTGAGGGTCCCCCGCATCCCCAGCAGGGACATGGGTGCTCCTCCAGCAGCTTCTGCCAGCTCCGGGGGCTGCTTTGAGCTATTGTGGAGCACAGCAAAATCCAGGCAGGAGATTCCAGCCGCATGGAAGCAGGAGGATGCAGGCAGGAGCATCCCCCTGTGGCTGCCCTCATCCTGCCCCAGGCCACAAAGGAGGCAAAGAGATGTCCTCACGGCAGCAGCATCTCCTGCGGGGCAGCTGAGCGTGTTCCTCCCATGGATTTGGGAGCGTTGGGTGCAGGCTCCTGGGTGAGGACAAGGTGATGGCCACGAGCAGGGCCAGCAGAGCCGGCAGGGAAGAGCTGGGATCTAAATCTCAGTGCTGGGATCCCGGGAATGGCAAGGAAAGACCTCAGCTGCTCCAGCAGAGTAAGCAGGGAAGCGATGGATCCAAAGCTCGGGAAGGGCAGGGATAGACCTCGGCTGCTCCAGCAGTGCAGGCAGGGAAGTGATGGGCTTCCACAGCTCGGGAATGGCAGAGAAGAGACCTCGATTGCTCCAGCACAGCAGGCAGGGAAGTGATGGGATCCAAAGAGCCCAGGAAGGGCAGGGAGAGACCTTGGCTGCTCCATCGGCATCAACGCTCAGCGGCGAGCAGTGGCTGTGGGGAGCACACGGCTGAGCCCCACATCCCTCCCCACACAGGGACAGCTTGTGGGGGGAAGCAGGACCCCCAAAGCCACCCCACAGCAGAGCTGGTACCTGACGGGAGTCCGGGCAGTCAGCATCAGGGCGCTTCCAGCTCGGCCGGGCCAGGGCACCCAGCACCAGCACCCCAAAGAGCAGGATGAGGAGCCCCAGGGTGTTGGCAAAGACGGCCTCAGCAGGCAGGAGCTTGTACTGCGCTGTCCCGTTCTTCCTTAGGGGGGGAAAAGGAGCCCAGAGCTGTCCTGGATGTGCCCAACCTCCCCCTCTAAGCCCACACAACCCCTGCAGCAGGGAGCGGAGGGGGCATCACCCCTTTCCCTTTGCCCCCAGGGCTTGGGTTCACTCTGGGCTACTCGGACCCCAAAGTCTGCTCGCTCCCCACCGCACGCGATGCTCACAGGCTGAAGAAGAGCTTCTCGTTGATGCCCGACACGCAGGAGGCCACGGCCAGCAGCAGGATGGTGGAGCCAAAGAAGATGTGGACGGGCTTGTAGAGCCCCCGGAGCCAGGAGGGAGCCCAGGGCAGCAGGAAGGTGCTGAACCCAGCCAGCCACTGCAGGGAGGGAAGTGAGGATGGGGAGTGCATGGAGCAGGACCAGCACCCACTAACAGGAGAAGAGCAGGATGGTGCTGAACCCAGCCAGCCACTGCAGGGAGGGAAGTGAGGATGAGGAGCGCATGGAGCAGGACCAGCACTCACTGACAGAAGAGCAGGATGGTGCTGAACCCAGCCAGGCACTGCGGGGAGGGAAGTGAGGATGGGGAGCGCATGGAGCTGGGATGCAGGGAGCAGGACCAGCACTCACTGAGAGAAGAGCAGGATGGTGCTGAACCCAGCCAGGCACTGCAGGGAGGGAAGTGAGGATGGGGAGTGCATGGAGCTGGGATGCAGGGAGCAGGACCAGCACTCACTGAGAGGAGAAGAGCAGGATGGTGCTGAACCCAGCCAGGCACTGCAGGGAGGGAAGTGAGGATGGGGAGCTCATGGAGCTGGGATGCAGGGAGCAGCACCAGCACTCACTGAGAGGAGAAGAGCAGGATGGTGCTGAACCCAGCCAGGCACTGCAGGGAGGGAAGCGAGGATGGGGAGTGCATGGACCTGGGATGCAGGGAGCAGGAGCAGCATCCACCTGACAGGAGAAGAGCAGGATGGTGCTGAACCCAGCCAGGCACTGCGGGGAGGGAAGTGAGGATGGGGAGCGCATGGAGCTGGGATGCAGGGAGCAGGACCAGCACTCACTGAGAGGAGGAGAGTAGGATGGTGCTGAACCCAGCCAGGCACTGCGGGGAGGGAAGCGAGGATGGGGAGTGCATGGAGCTGGGATGCAGGGAGCAGGACCAGCACTCACTGAGAGAAGAGCAGGATGGTGCTGAACCCAGCCAGGCACTGCAGGGAGGGAAGTGAGGATGGGGAGCGCATGGAGCAGGACCAGCACCCACCTGACAGGAGAAGAGCAGGATGGTGCTGAACCCAACCAGGCACTGCAGGGAGGGAAGTGAGGATGGGGAGCGCATGGAGCAGGACCAGCACTCACTGAGAAGAGAAGAGCAGGATGGTGCTGAACCCAGCCAGGCACTGCAGGGAAGGAAGTGAGGATGGGGAGCGCATGGAGCTGGGATGCAGGGAGCAGGACCAGCACTCACTGAGAGAAGAGCAGGATGGTGCTGAACCCAGCCAGGCACTGCAGGGAGGGAAATGAGGATGGGGAGCGCAGGGAGCAGGACCAGCACTCACTGACAGGAGAAGAGCAGGATGGTGCTGAACCCAGCCAGGCACTGCAGGGAGGGAAGTGAGGATGGGGAGCGCATGGAGCTGGGATGCAGGGAGCAGGACCAGCACTCACTGACAGGAGAGCAGGATGGTGCTGAACCCAGCCAGGCACTGCAGGGAGGGAAGTGATGGAGCTGGGATGAGTGAGAGAAGAGCAGGATGGAGCCAGGCACTACAGGGAGGGAAGTGCATGGAGCTGGGATGCAGGGAGCAGGACCAGCACTCACTGAGAGAAGAGCAGGATGGTGCTGAGCCCAGCCAGGCACTGCAGGGAGGGAAGCGAGGATGGGGAGTGCATGGAGCAGGACCAGCACTCACTGACAGGAGAGCAGGATGGTGCTGAACCCAGCCAGGCACTGCGGGGAGGGAAGTGAGGATGGGGAGTGCATGGACCTGGGATGCAGGGAGCAGGAGCAGCATCCACCTGACAGGACCAGCACTCACTGAGAGGAGAAGAGCAGGATGGTGCTGAACCCAGCCAGGCACTGCAGGGAGGGAAATGAGGATGGGGAGTGCATGGAGCTGGGATGCAGGGAGCAGGACCAGCACTCACTGAGAGGAGAGCAGGATGGTGCTGAACCCAGCCAGGCACTGCAGGGAGGGAAGCGAGGATGGGGAGGAGAGCAGGATGGTGCTGAACCCAGCCAGGCACTGCAGGGAGGGAAGTGAGGATGGGGAGCGCATGGAGCTGGGATGCAGGGAGCAGGACCAGCACTCACTGAGAGGAGAAGAGCAGGATGGTGCTGAACCCAGCCAGGCACTGCAGGGAGGGAAGTGAGGATGGGGAGCGCATGGAGCTGGGATGCAGGGAGCAGGATCAGCACCCACCTGACAGGAGAAGAGCAGGATGGTGGCCATGCCCAGCCAGCTGTGCAGTGAGTACATGTTGGGGGTGCCGTGCTCGTTGTGGAAGCGGAAGACGGCCACCAAGCCCAGCGCTGCCAAGGCGAGGGCTGCCAGGGCCAGGGAGCTGTGCAGCACCTTCCAGGGCAGCTTGGGACCGCTCCAGGATGCGGGCAGGCGATAAACCAGGGATGCTGCGGGACGAGGAGGTGAGGCAGGCGCCGCGCTGGCTCCGCGGCCCCCTCCGTACCCCGCTTACCTGCCCCATAGAGCACCACCATGGCCGTCACCATGAGCACCGGGTGCCAGTTGAACATCCGGGCGCTGCCGTCCCAGGCGAAGCCCCCCCGCCAGTACTGGCACCAGGAGCTCACAAAGGCCACGCACACGAAGCCCAGGAGGCCCAGGAGGAGGCAGAAAGGCAGGAAGGGCACATCCAGCATCTCCACAATGCGATGGGGGTACCTAGGGAAGAGCAAGGCAACGGCTCAGGTCTGTGCTTGGGGTTCCCCCCCAATCCTGCCCCATCCCAGGGAGGAGCCAGGCTCAAAGGGGAACTGAGGACCACGGAGGAGGTCGGGGTCCAGCCCAGCTGGTGCCTGCACTGGGAGGGATGGCAGGGTCCATGCAGGGTGAGGGCAGCCCATAGGGGACAACATTAAGGGTCTCTCCTGTATCCCCCCCCTACTGTCCTCAGGACCCCATTGATGTGATCCCCTCCCTCTCCACACCCCCAAACCCCTTCCAACTCTCTCCCATCCCCACCATAGGGCTCACCCCAACTGGAAGCAAGGCCCCCAGCATCACCCCTCGCCCCATAGGGTTAAAGGGGGACCCACGGGCAGCACCCATCGTGGTACCTGCGCTATGGACGGCCCCGGCAGGCTCCTGCCCTCAGCCTGTGGGGCTCCAAGCGTGAGGCTGAGCTCATTTGCCTGCGGATTTGCATCTGCCTCCAGCAATGGCTATTTCTGGCCCGGCCCGGGGCGGGGACGGCCCCGTCCTGCCCCACAGCGGCCGCCCCACGAGGGTGGGACACGGCCCCAGAGCCGGGGTTGGGGGGGGGGGATCCGGAGCTCGGACACTCATTGCTTGAGGTACTGCAGTGGGCACCGCGGTGCTGAGCTGCCCCATGGCACCCACAGAGCATGGGGATCGGGCCTGGCCCCATGGCACCCACAGAGTATGAGGATCGGGATTGGCCCCATGGCACCCATAGAGCATGGGGATCCGGCGCTGCCCCATGGCACCCAAAGAGCATGGGGATTGGGAGCTGCCCCATGGCACCCAAAGAGCATGGGGACTGGGCCTGGCCCCATGGCTGCCCCATGGCACCCACAGAGCATGGGGATCGGGCCTAGCCCCATGGCTGCCCCATGGCACCCACAGAGCATGGGGATCGGGCCTGGCCCCATGGCTGCCCCATGGCACCCACAGAGCATGGGGATCGGGCCTAGCCCCATGGCTGCCCCATGGCACCCACAGAGCATGGGGATCGGGCCTGGCCCCATGGCTGCCCCATGGCACCCACAGAGCATGGGGATCGGGCCTAGCCCCATGGCACCCACAGAGCATGGGGATTGGGCCTGGCCCTATGGCTGCCCCATGGCTGCCCCATGGCACCCACAGAGCATGGGGATTGGGCCTGGCCCCATGGAACCCACAGAGCATGGGGATGGGGCCTGGCCCCATGGCACCCACAGAGCATGGGGATGGGGCCTGGCCCCATGGCTGCCCCATGGCACCCACAGAGCATGGGGATCGGGCCTGGCCCCATGGCTGCCCCATGGCTCCCCCAGAGCATGGGGCTCGGCGCCGGCCCCATGGCTCCTATCACACCGGGCACACAGGGCCCTGCCCCACGGCTCCCCCCGGTACCGGGGCCGTACCTCGCCCCCTCGGCCCCTCCGGCCGCCTCCATCGTGGCCGGCGCCGCTCGCCCCGGTGGTGGCGCCGAGCCCAAGCCTCCAATGCCCCCGGTGATCAGCGAGAGCGGCGGCCAGAGCGGCCCCAGCGCGGCCCCAGCGCGGCCCTTCTAGCCACGCACTTCCGCCTCCCTCTCGGTGGCCGCGCCGTTGCCGTGGAGACGGAAGATGGCGGCCGCAGGTCAGCGCCGGGCCGCGGTGCGATGCGGGGACATAGAGGGGCTATGAGGGGACAGGAAGGGACAAGGGGGGAACACAGCGGCACCCACAGCCCCGGCACCACCGGTGTCTGCGCTCCGGGGAGCGGGGAGCCCGCTCTCGGTGGGGAACGGGGGGTTCGGGGGGTGTCCGGTGGGGCTGCGGCCTCCTTAGGGCCTGGTAAAGGGGGGTCCGCCGGGGGGGGGGGGGGGTGAGGGGAGAAGAGGGGGGCACATCGGTGTTGGGGCTGTGTAAGGGGGTGGTTGTCCCCTTCCCCCCCCCCCCCCATCCCAGCCCTATGGGTGCCAGGACAAGGGGCGCTGCACCCCACATTGCCCCCAGCGCCCCCGTTACCTGCCCGTGCTCCACGTCCCTCCTTTGTCAGCGGTGCGCAGGGAGGGTTGGGCCCCGTGTGGCCTCAGAGCCGCCCCAGGGCTGGGTGCGGGTTCCGGGAGGCACCGCGTGTCCAAGCCTGTCCCCACGGCGTGGCCTGCTCAGCGCTGGCCCCGGCGCCTGAACCCCGGCATGGGTCTGCTCCCTGGGACTCACCCGTGGGCCTTGGGGCTGGAAGGGGCGGGGGGGAATGGGACTGGGGAGGCTGCACCTCGAATCCTGTGCTCAGCTCCCGGCCCCTCACTGCAAGAGAGACCTTGAGGTGCTGGAGCAGGGACAGAGAAGGGAACGGAGCTGGAGCAGGGCCTGGAGCCCAGGTGTGATGGGGAAGGGCTGAGGGACCTGGGGGTTCAGTGTGGAGAAGAGAAGGCTCAGGGGGGACCTGATGGCTGCCTCCAAGTGCCTGAGAGGAGGATGGAGCCAGGAGGGGCTGGGCTCTGCTCCCAAGGAACAAGGGATGGGACAAGAGGAAACGGCCTCAAGCTGCACCAGGGCAGGTTTAGATGGAGCTGAGGAACAATTCCTGCCCCAGAGGGTGCTCAGGCATTGGAACAGGCTGCCCAGGGCACCGGCCCTGCAAGTGCTCCCAGACCCTATAGACAAGGCCCTCAGTGCCATGGGTTATGGTGGCCTTGGCAGGGCTGGGGCTGCTGATCTTTAAGGCCTTTTCCAGCCTGGTTGATTGTAGGGGTGAATCTGAACCTGCTGCATGGGGAGAAAGGAGGGGGGACACAGCCCAGGGCTTCATCCCATGCTGCCAAACCAAACCTCTGCTCCCCCTCCAGGTCCTGGCAATGGAGACGAGCAACACTGAGCCCCTCAGCTCCACGCCATGAGCTGCCTTTGCCTCTGGGGACGCTGGAGCTGAGAGCTCCAACACCAAGGGAAGGAAGATGCTCCAGACCAGCAACTACAGCCTGGTGCTGTTCCTGCAGTTCCTGCTCCTCTTCTACGACCTCTTTGTCAACTCCTTCTCGGAGCTGCTCCGCACGGCTCCTGCTGTCCAGCTCGTCCTCTTCATGTGAGTGCCCCCAGGGGGCTGTGACCACCATGGTGGGACAGGAAGGGTGGGATCTCACCCCGTTTCTCTCCTCCTGCAGCATCCAGGACATTGCTATTCTCTTCAACGTCATCATCATCTTCCTCATGTTCTTCAACACCTTCGTCTTCCAGGCTGGGCTGGTCAATCTCCTCTTCCACAAGTTCAAGGGCACCATCCTGCTGTCTGCAGCCTACCTGGGGCTCAGCATCTCCTTCCATGTGTGGGTTATGGTAGGTTGGGGCCGCTGATTCCTCCTGAGGGTGGCCAGCACAACCCTTTGCTCCCTCCTTCAGCCCCTCTTTCATGAGAGGAAAACCATCGTCTACCCAGCAGGGACAGTTTGGTGTCCCCCCATTGGCATCAGGCTGGAAGGAGGGAGCTGCCCCATCCCAACCCCTTTCCTAAAGGCTGGAAAATCCTCTTTCCCCCAGGGAAAGCAGCTCCAGCTCCGTGCTGGCACGGGATAATCCCTGCTGAGGGCTGGGACAGCAGCTCCTGCTTTACCTGGGATTAATCCCTAGCAAACACCAGCGCTCAGAGCCTGGGCACAGCCACGTCACTGCTGGCACTGGACAGCCCTGAGGGCTCTCAGGGGGTCCTGGCTCTGTTGAGGCAGCATCTTCCCCTTTTCATCCCCAGATAAACTCCCTCTTATCCCCATCCCCTGAAGAAGCAGCCCCACACCCTGCCCAGCCCCTGGGCATCCTCCTCCATGGGGTCTCATCCCCCTCCATCCTCAGGGTGAGGGTCTCTCCTCACCCCATTGCCCCTGGGGGCTGGAGCGGTTATGTTGGTGCTGCCCACACCCCTCAGGCAGGGGATTGACAAGGGATTTGCAGGGATCTGAAGCAGGAATAGGTCCTGGCTTGTTGGCTAAATCCCCTGAGCTGCTTAACCTTTGGGGTGGGAGTGCCCCCAAAGTGATGGAGCTGCTGCGAGGGCTGGAGCAGCTCTGCTCTGGAGCCAGGCTGAGAGAGCTGGGCTGGGGCAGCCTGGGGAAGAGAAGGCTCCTGAAGGGGAGACCTGAGAGCAGCTCCAGTGCCTGAAGGGGCTGCAGGAAACCTGGAGAGGGGCTTGGGACAAGGGATGTAGGGACAGGCCAAGGGGAATGGCTTGAACCTGCCCAAGGGGAGACTGAGCTGAGCTCTGAGGCAGAAGCTCTTCCCTGTGAGGGTGCTGAGGCGCTGGCACAGGGTGCCCAGAGAAGCTGTGGCTGCTCCATCCCTGGCAGTGTTCAAGGGCAGGTTGGACACAGGGGCTTGGAGCAAGCTGCTCCAGTGGAAGGGGTTGGGGTTGGAGCTGGAGGAGCTTTAAGCTCCCTTCATCCCAACCCATCCCATGCCTCTGACTCCTGTCTGTGCTCAGAACCTGCGCTGGCGCGACTCTAGCCGCTTCGTGTGGACCGAAGGCCTGCAGACCCTCTTCGTGTTCCAGCGCCTGGGTAAGGGCTGGGGCTCACAGGAGCCCTGCTGGGGCCCTGCTGCTTTTGGGGTGCCCCTGGGGCTGCCCACCTTCACACCCCTCTCCCTCCCTCCCTCCCGCAGCGGCTGTGCTCTACTGCTACTTCTACAAGAGGACCGCGGTGCACCTGGGGGACCCCCTCTTCTACCAGGACTCCCTGTGGCTGCGCAAGGAGTTTGAGCAGTTCCGTGGCTGACGGTTCCCCTCCAGCTCTTCATCACCTCCTGGCCCCCACTGCGGACAGCTCCACCTCAGCCTCTTCTTCCTCACTGCTACCAGCACCTCAGGTGGATGCTAGGAGCCAGCGGGAAGCTCATCTCCATCCCACTGTGCATCAGGATGGAGCCGCATCCCTTGGTTTGGGACTCCAGTGCTTTTGTAACCAGTAAAGAAATAAATGAGCTGTGTTTTCCAACGCTGACCCCCCCCCACCCCCCGGGCTCTTCAGGGGGGTTGGAACTAGATGATCTTAAGGTCCTTTCCAACCCTAATTATTCCATGATTCCCTCCCATTCACTCTCTGCACCCCAACATCCTTCCCCCAGCTCCTCGCTGTGTTTCCAGCCCGCTCACGGGGCAGTGCCCACCGTGCAGCGGAGAGAACCGCGGCTCAACCCGTGTGTGTGTGTGTTTGGGGGGGGAACACCGGGCTCCCCCCCACACCTTTCACCGTGCCCCATTGCCGGCTGCGGGTCTCGAACCCGCGGCCTCCCGGCTCAGTCCTCCGGGACCATAGAGAGGGCGGAAGGAGCGGGCGAGGCCGCCGGCGGTTCCCATGGAGACGGAAGATGGCGCCCAGGAGTGAGTGAGGGACCGCGGCCGGCGGCGATGGCGAGGGGCGGGGTGGGGGGGGAGCAGAACGGGACCGGGAGGGCCCGGGGCTCGGTGCCCGCCCACAGCCGCGTTGTCCCCGCAGGCCGCCAGCGCTCCTCGGCCCCGCTGCAGGTCCTGCTCTTCCTCAACGGCTGGTACAGCGCGACCTACTTCCTGCTGGAGGCCTTCATCTTCGTGTACAAGGGTGAGCCCCCCCACCACATCACCCCCGGTACCCCTTGAGCGCACCGCGGGTACCGGGTACCGGCCCCTGCGGGGGGGTGAGCTCTGAGGCAGCCGTGGCTGTGCCCGCAGTGCTGCTGCTGCCCTATCCCTTCACCAACCTGGCGCTGGACGTGGTGCTGCTCTGCCTCTACCTCGGCACTGAGGCGACGCGCATCTTCTTCGGTGAGTGCTTCGGACGAGGGCCTGGAGGGAGAGGACAAGGGGAATGAATGGCTTGAACCTGCCCGAGGGGAGACTGAGATGAGCTCTGAGGCAGAAGCTCTTCCCTGGGAGGGTGCTGAGGCGCTGGCACAGGGTGCCCAGAGAAGCTGTGGCTGCCCCATCCCTGGCAGTGTTCAAGGCCACAGGGGCTTGGAGCACCCTGCTCCAGTGGAAGGGGTTGGGGTTGGAGCTGGATGAGCTTTAAGCTCCCTTCCAACCCATCCCATGCATCTAAGTCCTGGTGACACCAAGCTCCAGGAACCGATGGGACCCACAAGCACCCCCCCCATCCCACTTCCCATCCCCACCCCAGGCTCCAAGGGCAACCTGTGCCAGCGGAAGGTTCCCCTCTGCATCAGCCTGGCACTGACGGTGCCGGCAGCCGTGATGGCCACCTATTACCTGCTGCTGCAGACCTATGCCCTGCGCCTGGAAGCCATCCTCAACGCCATCCTCCTCCTCTTCTACGCCCTGGAGCTGCTGCTGGCTGTCCTGGCGCTCCTCTCCTTCTCCAGGTATCTTTCCCAGGCCGTTCCCTATGGAATGCCGGACTTCCAAGCTGCTTTGGCACTCCTCCATCCCTCTTTCTTCCCCTTCTCTTACAGCACGGATTCATACTGAGGCCCTGTGCCACGCCAAAGGACCAGGTACAGGAGGCACTGGGTGCTCAGCACCCCCCCGGTTGGGTGTCTCCCCATCGGCTAGGAGTGACCTGCGAGGCAGCCCCCTCCCTGCTGCCCCCCAGGACGTGCACGGCAGCTCCAGGTACAGAGAATTCCTATTTTTTTTTTGCTACCTTCTCACAAGAATTCCCTCTTTTCCAATAAATATTTATTTTTACCTGGTGCCTGAGCACTTGGGGTTCCCCCAACCCCGGGCACCCCCCCCACTGCTGCTTTGAGGGGCAGAAAAGCTCCTCAGCAGTGGCCCATCAGTCCCCAACCACCCCTAAACCACTCCAACCCCCTCTTTATCACTTCCAACACCTCATAGGCAATGCAAGGTCCTACACCTGGGTCAGGGCAACCCCAGGCACAGAGGCAGGATGAACAGAGAAGAGATGGAGAGCAGCCTGAGGAGGACTTGGGGGTGTTGGGTGATGAGAAACTGAACATGAGTGGGGTTTAGTGTGCGCTTGCAGCCCAGAAACCAACCGTGTCCTGGGCTGCATCCAAAGCAGCGTGACCAGCAGGTCCAAGGAGGTGATCCTGCCCCTCTGCTCTGCTCTCGTGAGACCTCACCTGGAGCATCGTGTGCAGTTCTGGTGTCCTCAACATAAAAAGGACATGGAACTGTTGGAACAAGGCCAGAGGAGGCCACGAGGATGCTCAGGGACTGGAGCAGCTCCCGTAGGGAGCCAGGCTGGGAACATTGGGGCTGTTCAGCCTGGAGAAGAGAAGCTGGGTGGAGAGCTCAGAGCAGCCTTCCAGTATCTGAAGGGGGCTACAAGGATGCAGGAGAGGGACTCTTCATTAGGGACTGGAGTGACAGGGCAAGGGGTGATGGGGTTCCAACTGAAACAGGGGGGATCCAGCTTGGATGTAAGGAATTCATTCTTCACTATGAGGGTGCTGAGGCGCTGGCACAGGGTGCCCAGAGAAGCTGTGGCTGCCCCATCCCCGGCAGTGTTCAAGTCCACAGGGGCTTGGAGCACCCTGCTCCAGTGGAAGGCATCCCTGCCCACTTGCAGTGGGTTAGACCTGGATGAGCATTAAGCTCCCTTCCAACCCAACCCATTCCCCGCTTCCACACCGGACACCAAGGGAAGAGCCCTCCAGCACCATCTAAAAGATTGACAACGTCAGCCAAGTTTTATTACACAACGTCCAACCTATCAGAAAGACAAACCAAATCTCTCTACTCACTGCGGGCAGGAGGGGCACTGCCTCCGGGGGGGGGGCTTGCTCTGCACTCGTCTTCTTTGTCCCCCCCCCCCCGTCCCCTGTCCCCCCCCCCACTATTTGCAAAGAAACCTAAAAATGTGGCATTAAGTAGAAAAGAAAATCCATCCGGAAGCCTCCTGGCACCTCCCCGGGGGGGGTTCAGGCTCTTTGGGGCTCATTTCAACTTAAAAAGCCCTCCAGAGGCAGGTTTGCTCCTTGGCCAGCGACAGTTTGGAGGTGAAGGGGGGGGGGGGGAGCCACCAGCCCTGGAAGTTGCCCCTTGTCTCCTCAGCTCAGCCCGACCCTTTGTGGGTGCTTCCCTTGGGATCCCACCCGGCCTGGAGAGGTGCAGCCCCCTCGAGCATGGGGAACAACCCCCCCCCTGCCATTGTGCCCCCTGGAAGGGTGGTTGGGGAGAGCATCCCCAGGGATAAGCATCTGGGGGGGGGGGGGGTTGCATCCTGCCCTGCTGCCTCCTCTTCCTCTAAAACAAGGAAGGTGCTGCAGGAGAGCCCTGGAATGTGGGGCAGAGGGAAGGGCTGAGCCCCAGCTCTGCTCCAGCCCTCCTGGGCTGAGCAGGGAGGATAAAGGGGAAAAGGAGCAGCATGGGGGCCTGTGCTGGCACTGCGGGGCAATGGGGACACGAGCGTCCCCACAGGAGGGGGGCAGGAGGCTGGGGAACCCCTGGTACCGCTTCCAGCAACCCCAAGCACGGAGCGGGATCCGTGCAGCCTTGGGAAGGATCCATCCTCTTCCCAGCACGGCCTCACCACCCTCCCTCCGTGGAAGGAAAAGCACCATTTCTCTTTGGGTCCGAGTATCCGTGGAGCAGAGCGGGCTGAGCCGGGTGCTGGCATTCCCTCTGGGAAGCAGAAGGGAGCAGGGGCTCCGGCCCCAAGGCCACGAGGTGTCCGGTGGGAGGCCCGGCTGCTGGCGTGCTCCACGGCTTTCCTGGGGTGTCCGGAGGGAGCTGGGGGGGGAGCCTGGGATGGGGTGGGAGAGTGGAGCAGCCTCGTCGAGGGGAGGAGATACGAGTCCATTAAAAACCACTTCCTGCCAAATTCCTGTGGGGAAGAGGAGCAGAGGGGTCAGGGCAACCCTTGGAGGGCCGACAAGGACCAGGGGGATGGCTTTACCCTGCCAGAGGGGAGATGGGAGAGCGCTCAAGGCCAGGTTGGACACAGGGGCTTGGAGCAAGCTGCTCCAGTGGAAGGGGTTGGAGCTGGATGAGCTTTAAGGTCCCTTCATCCCAACCCATTCTATGATGCTGTGGGATCCCCAGTGTAAGGGGGATGTGGATGGAGGTGTTGGAGGGAGTTTGAAGGAGGCCGTGGAGATATAAGGGAGCTGGAGCAGCTCTGCTCTGGAGCCAGGCTGAGAGAGCTGGGCTGGGGCAGCCTGGACAAGAGAAGGATCCCAGCTCCAGTGCCTGACCCATCCCATGAGAAGCTCTTCCCTGGGAGGGTGCTGGCATTCCCACAGCACCTGCTCCAGTGGAAGATGGACACCCCTCACCTGTCTCAGTGGTGCCGGTCCCTCTCTCTGTCCCTGTCCCGATGCCGCTCGTGCTCCCGGTTCCGCTCCTGGAAGTAGTCCTCGTGCCGGTCCTCGCTGTGGAGCACGTCCCGGTGCCGCCGGCTGCTTTCACGGGACCGGCTGGGGGAGCGCTCCCGGGATCGGTGCCTTTTCCTGGGAAAAGAGGAAGGAAAAGGACTTCTGGTGTGCGCAGTTGTGGTGTCCTCAGCAACCGGAGGACATGGAGCTGTTGGAGCAAGGCCAGAGGAGGCCACGAGGATGCTCAGGGGCTGGAGCAGCTCCCGTATGGAGCCAGGTTGGGAACATTGGGGCTGATCAGCCTGGAGAAGAGAAGCTGTGTGGAGAGCTCAGAGCAGCTTCCAGTGTCTGAAGGGGGCTACAAGGATGCTGGAGAGGACTCTTTATCAGGGACTGGAGTGATAGGACAAGGGGTGATGGGTTCAGACTGGATGTAAGGAATTCATTCTTCACTCTGAGGGTGCTGAGGCGCTGGCACAGGGTGCCCAGAGAAGCTGTGGCTGCCCCATCCCTGGCAGTGTTCAGGGCCAGGTTGGACCCAGGGGCTTGGAGCAAGCTGCTCCGGTGAAAGATGTTGGGGTTGGAGCTGGATGAGCTTGAAGCTCCCTTCATCCCAACCCATTCCAGGACGGGATGCAACGAATCCAACCCCATGGCAGCTCCCAGCCTGGCAGTACCTGGAGGAGCTGCTGCTGGCGCCGGTGCTGTAGGACTTGGCCTCGATGCCGTGCAGGCAGTCCTTGAGGGACGAGAGGAGGACGCGGCACCGCTCGTCGCTGGCCACGCGGGACTGTTTGATGACGGCGATGGCCGTGAGCAGGGTCTCGATGGCGTCGCTGTAGTCACCTGGGGGGGGATGACACGACACAGAGCAGGGTTGAAGGGGGGCAAACCCAGCATGGGACAAGGGGGGGGCAATCCCAATCCCACAGGGACATGGGGACACGGTCACTGGTACCTGCGCTGGCGCCGGACACCGCCTTGGAGATGGCGCTGCTGGAGATGGCCCGGTTCCTGTTCATGATCTCCTCAAACTCCCCTTCACTCACTGGGGCCGGGGGAGGGCCCAGCTCCCGGCTGCACAAGAGACAAGTGGGGGTTCAGCAAATCCCCCCCCCCCAACCCCATTTGTACCCCACTGAGACCCCCACCCCCTCACCTGCTGTGGTTGTAGGGAGCCATGGCCTTGCCGTAGGTGTCCGGTGGAGGACCCAGCGCCGCGTTGGGTGGGGGGAAGAAGGCAGGGTTGAGGTGCAGGGCAGGGGGGACAGCCCCTGGGGGGGGCACAGCGAGGTGTGGGGGCAGTCGAGGCGGGGGGGGCATGAGATGCTGGTAGTGGATACCGGGGGGTGGCGGGGGGACACCGAAGCCGGAGGACAAGGGAGGAGGTGGTGGCATGGGTGGAGGGGGCAGCCCCATAAGGGGCAAAGCAGTGGGGGGGCGGTTGAAGAAGGGAAGGACCGAGGGGGGTTTGTCCGGGCGGGCTGCAGGCAAAGCATTCTCTGTCGGTGTGGCACGGCCATCCACGGAGTCCACGGAATCCCGGGAATGGGCCCTCGGAGGCACACCTGGAAGCGGGATGGGAAAAGAGCCATGAGCTACAGGCAGAGCACCTGCAGGTCTTGGGAGCGCTCCTCCTCTTCCTCCCCACCCGCAGTGACCAGTGCAAGGAGCATCCTCTCCCTCAGCCCCGGGAGAGCTCAAGGTGCCCAGAGCAAGATCCAGCCACAGCCACACGTAGCCTCCGCTTCCACGTGCCTCCAAGAGGGGAGCAGCTCCCGGTGCCGAAGCCACCGAGTAAAGTGGGTTCCAAAGAGAGAAGGCAAAAAAAGCCACAAGAGAGGGTGAGAGGGTGCCCAGGAGAGAGCTCGCTGGGGCCCCGAAGAGATGAAACAGCCCCGAGAGAGATCCGGAAAGGCCTGAACATGGAGGAACACAAGGGGCCAGAACCCAAGTGCTGAGAGCAACGGAGCTGCTGGAAGAAGGAGAATTTGGGAGCCTTGGTTGCCCTCAATGAGGACCAGGAACGTCTGCTGTGTCCCAAGAGGCTCTGAGGATGAGACTGATGTTCAATGAGGGCACGGAGCCCCTGTGGGGGAGCCACAGCTCCCCACCAGGCTCTGCTGGCCATCAAGCCAAGCACTGTTCAGGCTTCATGCGAGCTCATGATGAGGCCCCTGGGGCCAGGCTGAAGGCAACACCCCTGTGCTCCACCAGAACACAAGGGCAGGTCCAGCCAGGGTCTAACAGCGCCCAGTGCTGCCAAGCAGCCGATGGAGCTGAAGGAAGGAAGCTGTGACTCTGCCAGGGTGCTTAGGAAGAAATGGTTTTCCCCTTGGCTGAAACAGGCCACGGGATGTCCAATGGCCAAGACCTCCTCTTGCCAAACACGCTCCTGCCCAAAGAGTGCCTGTGGGTCCAGCAGAGCCCCCCCCAAGCACCGGGGCTGGGCACGTCACATCGCTGCGGAGTGAGGCGAGGACCACCGACTGCCATCGTAGAAAGCCCCACGGCCAGGCCCCAGCTGGAATACTGCGTCCAGTGATGGGCACCTTACCTCCGCAGGGATGGACAAGTTCTGGAGGAGATCCAGAGAAGAGCTACTACTAGATATGGAGGGTCTTAGCTATGTTGATAGGCTGAAGAGCTTAAGCCCATTCAGTTTGGAGAGGAGGAGGAGGAGGCTACGAGGGATCTTCGCAGTGTGTGAGCACCTAAAAAAGGGGATCATAAAGACTCGGGTCAGGATCTAAGCAGACTCAGCAGCAATAGGAAACAACCCCCAGAGGCTCCTGGCAGCGTTCCCCCCCCAACCCTGAAGGTGCCGGCGGGCTCAGGCTGACAGCGCTGTGGGGGGGAGCCCTGCAGTGTGGAGAGCCCCCCCACCTCTGACCCCATGCCCGGTGCCGCGCCGTGCCCGCGCCCCACTCACGTTTGCGAGCCTGGGCCTCGAACTGGGAGAGGTTCTGCCGGGTGGCCAGCCTCACCTCCACCTTGTCCCCGTTGAGCATCTTGCCAGGCAGGAGCTCCAGGAGCTTGTGCACCGAGTTCTCGGAGGCGACCACCACCTCTGCGTACCTGCAGGGAAGCCCAGGGCTTGGGCTGAGCATCGCTTGGGAGCCGGTGGTTGGGCTGAGTGCACCTTGGTGGCCTGCATCCCTTCCTCCTCATCCCGTGCTGCCTGGGCTGAGTGCACCTTGGTGGCCTGCATCCCTTCCTCCTCATCCCGTGCTGCCTGGGCTGAGTGCACCTTGGTGGCCTGCATCCCTTCCTCCTCATCCCGTGCTGCCTGGGCTGAGTGCACCTTGGTGGCCTGCATCCCTTCCTCCTCATCCCGTGCTGCCTGGGCTGAGTGCACCTTGGTGGCCTGCATCCCTTCCTCCTCATCCCGTGCTGCCTGGGCTGAGTGCACCTTGGTGGCCTGCATCCCTTCCTCCTCATCCCGTGCTGCCTGGGCTGAGTGCACCTTGGTGGCCTGCATCCCTTCCTCCTCATCCCGTGCTGCCTGGGCTGAGTGCACCTTGGTGGCCTGCATCCCTTCCTCCTCATCCCGTGCTGCCTGGGCTGAGTGCACCTTGGTGGCCTGCATCCCTTCCTCCTCATCCCGTGCTGCCTGGGCTGAGTGCACCTTGGTGGCCTGCATCCCTTCCTCCTCATCCCGTGCTGCCTGGGCTGAGTGCACCTTGGTGGCCTGCATCCCTTCCTCCTCATCCCGTGCTGCCTGGGCTGAGTGCACCTTGGTGGCCTGCATCCCTTCCTCCTCATCCCGTGCTGCCCGCGAGTCCCTGCTTTACCACCCGCAGCCAGGAAAAGCATTGCCTGTCCCCTCACCACAACGGATGTGGGGCTCATGACCCCCCCCTGCCCCGTTCTGCCCCAGCTCTCACCCTTTGGACTGGCCGTTGGCTCGGTTCTCTGCGAACTTCAGCTCCACCACGTCGTAGACGCCGACGGAGCGGATGGTTTGGATCAGCTGCTGGTCAGTCGTCCACTGAGGGGAGGAGAGAGATGCAGGGGTCACCTCTTGTCAGCCCTCGGTGTTCCCAAACACCCCCCCCAGCTAACCCAGGCGCAGGACACGTTGAGTACTTGCACCCTCAGAGCCCCTGCCATGGGGTTTACAACCAACCAACAGGCTCTGGGCAGAGCCACCAGAGGTCTGGATGAGACAGAGCATTCCCAAGCTGTCCATCAAGGAGAAGGGGACGCATCCACGCAGCCCCAGGAAGGAAGAGCCAAGCAGGGCCAGCAGCCAGCACGCTGCAGTCACCGGCCCCCCCCCTGCTTCAGGCTCCATCTGAAGCCCCTCAGCGCTGACCCCAAAGTCAAGCCACAACCTCCAAAGAGCCCCTCGATGGGGATGGGGTCTGAACCTCCCCATCCCCATTCCCACTACAGGAGACCCAAACTGGACCCCCCAGAGGGGGCCAGAGGCGAGGCGGCGAGACCCCACTCACCCAGGAGAAGCTGCCCACGTAGACGGCAGCCCTCTTGTTGCGCAGCCCGCTGTAGGTGTACAGGATGGCGGGGGCCTTGCTGTTGGCTTTGGGAGAGGGCTCCTGACGGATCTCAGGGGGGGGCTCGGAGCTGCTGCTGCTGCGGCTCTCGGGGGGCTGGGAGCTGACGGCCAGCACATCGTCGTACAGGTCCATCTGGTCGGCGCTGCTGAACTCTGAGTCCTAAGGGGACATCCCCGGGGTGTGGGGGGGGAAGCAATTGCATGTGTGCCCCCCACCCAACCGCAGCCCTGCTCAGCACCTTCCATCAGAGCACCGGGCTCCAAGCCCCTGGGGCCTTGAGCGCTGCCAGGGATGGGGCAGCCACAGCTTCTCTGGGCACCCTGTGCCAGCGCCTCAGCACCCTCCCAGGGAAGAGCTTCTGCCTAAGAGCTCAGCTCAGTCTCCCCTCGGGCAGGTTCAAGCCATTCCCCTTGGCCTGTCCCTACATCCCTTGTCCCAAGCCCCTCTCCAGGTTTCCTGCAGCCCCTTTAGGCACTGGAGCTGCTCTCAGGTCTCCCCTTCAGGAGCCTTCTCTTCCCCAGGCTGACCAAGCAACACTCTCATCCTGTCCATCTTCCCCCCAAGCACCCTCTCAGCACCAACACCACTTGTAACGTTTCCATCCAGCCCTTTCAGCTGGGGAGCTGATAAACAGGTCACAAGAGCTCCAACAGGGAGCCGTGTTTTCCTGCTCCTCAACCCAGCCCAGCTGTTTGTTTAATCCACCTCACACATTCCTACCCCTGCTCTAAGTGCTTTGGACACGGCCCAAGGCTGGAAGATTCCTGCCTGGAAGTTGCAGAAAGTCGAGACCAAAACCAGAGGCGGGCAGGGAATTCCTCACTTGTGCTGCTATGGGGATGCTGCAGCTTGGGAGATTTTAGAGCTCTTCTGGGATCTCTGTAAGTGCTCCCCTTTACTCATGGAATCAACTGGGTTGGAAAAAACCTTTAGGATCATCCAGTCCAATCGTTCCCCACCACTAACCCATGGCACCGAGGCCTCGTCTCCAGGTGTGTGAACACCTGCAGGGCCGGTGCCCTGGGCAGCCTGTTCCAATGTCTGAGCACCCTCTGGGGCAGGAATTGTTCCTCAGCTCCATCTAAACCTGCCCTGGGGCATCTTGAGGCCGTTTCCTCTTGTCCCATCCCTTGTTCCTTGGGAGCAGAGCCCAGCCCCTCCTGGCTCCATCCTCCTCTCAGGCACTTGCAGGCAGCCATCAGGTCCCCCCTGAGCCTTCTCTTCTCCACACTGAACCCCCCAGGTCCCTCAGCCCTTCCCCATCACACCTGGGCTCCAGGCCCTGCTCCAGCTCCGTTCCCTTCTCTGGCCCCGCTCCAGCACCTCAAGGTCTCTCTTGCAGTGAGGGCCCCAGAGCTGAGCACAGGATTCGAGGTGCAGCCTCCCCAGTGCCCAGCACAGGGGCCCAATCCCTGCCCTGCTCCTGCTGCTGCACTGGTGCTGTTGCAGTACCAGGATGCTGGGGGCTTCTTGGCTGCCTGGGCACAAGCTGCTCCTGCTCAGCTCCTTTTCACGAGCAGCTTCCCAAGCCTGCAGCGTTCCATGGTGGCTCAAGCGCAGGACCCAGCACTGAGCCCTGTTGGAGCTCAGGCAATGGGTCCAGCCTGGCCACATCCCTCTGCAGAACCTCCAGCAGAGCAACTCCCCCTCCACCTGGTGTCATCTACAAAGTGACTGGGGGTGGCCTCAATCCCCCCGTCCAGAGCATCAATGAAGATACCAAACACTGGCCCTGGGGGCCACCACCAGTGAGCAAGCTGATGGGACCCCCTTCAGCACCGCTCTCCGGGCTCTGCCATGCAGCCAGGCCTTTCCCCAGCAAGGAACCCAGCCAGCCAGGCCAGGAGCAGCCAGTTCCTCCAGGAGAGCACTGCAGGACACAGTATCCATGCTCTACTGAGGGCCACCCAATGGGCTGATGGTGCAGAAGAACCCAAAGCCCCGCTCTGCTGCTCTCTGCCCTTGCCATCACACCATGCTTGCAGAGCATCGGTGGTGAGAAGCTTCCTCCATCCCCAACGCCTTCACTGCTGCCACCCAAACCCCAGCTCAGTGAACACACCACAACTTGTGAGGTCCGTGAGGCTGAATCCGGGCACCACCAGCGGCATTCCCATGTTGTTCCATGGGATCTGGGACCGCACCAGCATCCCCGGTGTGCCCTGGGGCAACCACGGCACCTTCCCCCTGCACTTTGATCCCATGGATTAAGCAGTTCCTTCCTGCTGCAGCACGGCCTGAGGTGCTCAATGAGCACTTCCAGCTCCAAGAAGCCACCATCTACTATCAAAGACCTTGGGTCTCCTGTGCACCAGCCCCTCCAGGTAAAGCTTTCCCTGCTGTGCAGCCAGGATTGCTCCATCCTCCTCCCAACGCTGCTCCACTTCACTCCTAAAGATCCCCAAGACTGGAGCAGCACCGGACCAGATCCATCAGAGCCCTCTCAGCATTCCAGCCACCATTCCCATGTCAACTCCAGCCACTGCTTCCATCACCATTCCCAATCCTGGGAGCCAAGCCTTCATGGGAAAGCCTACCTGTAGGCATAGGCAGGACTTGTCCACCTCCACAGAGCACCCATGAAGCAGCAGCACAGCTCTCCCATTAAATCCTACCACCTGTATTCCCGCAGCTAGCCAGCAATTCCCTCTGCTCCCAAACCCAGATGGGATTGGGTATCCCCAGGCATACCCATTTCCTAATGCTTTTCAAAGCAAACTGCATGAAAGCATCCAAACTGAGGTTATTCCTAAGCCAGAGCAGTTCCATTTGGTCCCAGCACCATCACTAGACAGTTTCATGCACGGAGAAGTGGGATTATTCCAGGGTTTTTCAAGGAAGGATGCAGTATGTGGGAGTCAGAGGGCATCCAGGCAGGAATTCACTTTACAACCCACCTTCCTAGAGAGGATCCTGTTGCTTTGGCAGCGCCAGAGCCAGCTCAGAGCAGAGCCCCCTCTGCTCCGAGGGCCTCAACACCGCTCCCACCATCCTGCTTTTCCCAACACGGCAGGAATAATTCCTTGGAACAGAAGATTCCTCCCCCTCCGCTCCTCTCCAGCCCTCCAGGAGCTCACGGGGATTCCCTTCCTCCATGTGCTTTGCTCCCAGTTCACGTCTTCCCTCTTAGTTCATTCCAGCTTCCCTCCTTGGCTGCTCCACAGCAGTTTCTAACCTCCAAGCATCCACGTCCAGGTTTGCTCTCCCGCATCCCTGAATCCTCCAAAACCTCCTTTCCCAAAAGCCACGCACTCTCCTTCTCCATCACTTCTTCCTGAGGTTCCCAGGCAACCCCAAGGTGGGAGAAGGTGGCACCTTGGGCATGACCCTGACCACAGCTTTGGTGCTCTGGGTCCCTTCCCTGCGCCGTTCCCTCGCAGAGCCTCTTCCTGTTGGGATTTCTCACTTCTCCAACCAGGATGATGCTCTCCCTCCTTCCATCCTCACTCATCACTTCCCTGGCAAAGGCTCCGCTCCAGACCCTGCCTCCCCTTCCCAAACACTGGGTGCCAGGGGAAGGTGTCCCTACCCGTGGCAGGGGATTGGAACTGGAGGAGCTTTAAGCTCCCTTCCAACCCAAGCCACTTCTATATGGAAATCCACCAGGATTTAGGACCATTCCTGGTGGATTCTCCCCATAGGAACTCCTCCATGCTGGCCCACACCTTCCCGGGCGCATCTTCTCCTCCAACTCAACGCGTTCACACCCCTCCATGGGTCCATCCATAGTAACGGGTCCAGCTCCCGTTAAGGAGCTGGCTGCTGCTGCTTCCAGTGCTTTTCCCACCGGGAAGCGGGGACGTGCAGCCTCTCACCTGGTTGAACTCCTCATCGGCGTAGATATCGATCAGATCCACCCCCTCCGACATCCTTCCAGAGGCGGGAGCAGAGCAGGAGCCCGGGCTGGGACCGGGAGGTCGGGATGAGCACTGCAGCGACGAGCAGGAGAGGAGGGGGAAGCCCATCAGCGACCCCCTCTGTGCCCCACACTTCTCCCTATGGGATTGGGGTCCCCCCTATTCCCTGCAGCACCCCTTTAACGGGACAGACCCCACCTCGACTATGGGGGGGGCAATTCGGGTTCCCCCTATTCCCTGCAGCACCCCTTTAACGGGACAGACCCCACCTCGACTACGGGGGGGGGGCAATTCGGGTCCCCCCTATTTCCTGCAGCATCCCTTTAATGGGACAGACCCCACCTCGACTATGGGGGGGGGGGAATTTGGGTCCCCCCTATTCTTTGCAGCACCCCTTTAACGGGACAGACCCCACCTCGACCCCCGGGGGGGGGGGCAATTCGGGTCCCCCCTATTCCCTGCAGCACCCCTTTAACGGGACAGACCCCACCTCGACTATGGTGGGGGGCGACTGGGGTCCCCCCTATTCCCTGCAGCACCCCTTTAACGGGGCAGACCCCACCTCGACTATGGGGGGGGGCAATTTGGGTCCCCCCTATTCCCTGCAGCACCCCTTTAACGGGACAGACCCCACCTCGACTATGGGGGGGGCAATTCGGGTCCCCCCTATTCCCTGCAGCACCCCTTTAACGGGACAGACCCCACCTCGACTATGGGGGGGGGGTGACTGGGGTCCCCCCTATTCCCTGCAGCACCCCTTTAACGGGGCAAACCCCACCTCGACTATGGGGGGGAGCGACTGGGGTCCCCCCAATTCCCTGCAGCACCCCTTTAACGGGACAGACCCCACCTCGACCCCCGGTGTGTGGGGGGAAGGCAACGTGGCCCCGTTACCCCCCAACCTCCCCCACACCAGGGGGCGACCACCACCACCACCACCGCCGCCCCCCTCCCATCCTCTCCCCACACCCCCTCTCTATGGTACCCCACACCCCCTCCTCACACACTGAGGCCTTCCCCCCCCCCCCACAACAACCGGGGCCGAGACCGCCATAACGGGCCGGGCGGGGGGAGAGGAAGGGGTGGAACCGGAGGGGGGGTAACGAAAAGGGGGGAGGGTCGGGTCGGTTCCGTTCCCCCTCCCCCATCCCGGTTTCCCCCCCCGCCCCCCCCGTTTCCGCCCGCAGGCCCCGAGCGCGCGCGCTCAACCGCGCTCACCGCCACCGCCAGCGCCGCCGCGCCACGCCACGCCCCTTCCGGCTCTGGACACGCCCCCTTCCGCCCCGCCCCTTGCTTCAGGGATCATAGAGTTGGTCCTCCAGGGCGTATAGAGCGGCGACAGCGGGAGGAGACATGGCGGCCGCCGGGGTGAGCGGGGACGGGGGGGTGAAGGGAGGCCTGTAGGGGCATGAAGGGGGATAGGTGGGGATCAAGGGGTCGGAGTCATAGAGGGGCCGAGGGTAGGAAGGGCAAGGGGGTTATAAATGGGGCTGAGCGTTTGGAGGGGGGTGTATGGAGGGGTATATGGGTGGTTGGGGGGCGTATGGAGGGATATATGGGTGGTTGGGGGGTGTATGGAGGGATACATGGGTGGTTGGGGGATGTATGGAGGGATATATGGGTGGTTGGGGGGTGTATGGAGGGATATATGGGTGGTTGGGGGTGTATGGAGGGATATATGGGTGGTTGGGGGGTGTATGGAGGGATATATGGGTGGTTGGGGGTGTAGGGATATATGGGTGGTTGGGGGTGTATGGAGGGATATATGGGTGGTTGGGGGGTGTATGGAGGGATATATGGGTGGTTGGGGGTGTACAGTATATGGGTGGTTGGGGGTGTATGGAGGGATATATGGGTGGTTGGGGGTGTACGGAGGGATATATGGGTGGTTGGGGGTGTACGGAGGGATATATGGGTGGTTGGGGGTGTACGGAGGGATATATGGGTGGTTGGGGGGTGTATGGAGGGATATATGGGTGGTTGGGGGGTGTATGGAGGGATACATGGGTGGTTGGGGGGTGTATGGAGGGATATATGGGTGGTTGGGGGGTGTATGGAGGGATATATGTATGGAGGGATATATGGGTGGTTGGGGGGTGTATGGAGGGATATATGGGTGGTTGGGGG